GCGGGAACATGTGACCTTGCTGCCTCCTGTTGGTGGTGAAACAAACTGAAATAAATGACCTAGAGAGCCAGCCAATAAGGGCCTCATACTTCAGACTTGTTGGAATAGTCTAAAAGGCAAAGTTTTTCAAGAAGGGACGTCTGTGCGCGCGTGAGATGAGACCTAGAAAGTATCCGGGTTAAGCGCGATGCCCTTCGACTGTCTGCACCGCTTGAAGCTGCACTTAAGCCTCGGCAGCGCCTCCGCCTTTCAAGGAACGATGGAGGGTGAGACGGCGCAGTGTCACCATGAGCACAGAGGGAAAAACAGTCAAGAGTAATTAAAAACATTATAATTAATATGGACTATTATACACAAGCAGGGTGCAGTCAGACACTCTGATTTCAAAGGAGCATGGTTCATCCAGCTCTGTCTGAAGAGAGGATGTGGGGGAGTCGGCAAATCACTCTTTCCAGGAACTCTTCTTTGCTCTCGCACCATTGTATCACATGACAAAACGACACCAGTGTCCTATTCCGTCCTGTTGAAACTACTCTGCATCCTTCTTGCTATTCGTCTCATCCACATGCACATGCCTCGTACTTTTCCATACATTTGCTCTTCCTCTATTTCTTTGGTCGTTGTGTTGCTGATGGTGTTCCAGATGAGCTGTAGTAAGGGATTGTGCAAATATAATATCTGGGGTTAGGGTCATGATAACAGTCAGAGATCTGATCTCATACATATCAGGTTATACAGAGCCAAATTGAAACCAGATGTTCCAGAAGTAACAAAATCCCATTTTAAGTAAAGCAGGTAACTACAAATCCAGCTCATGAACAGAACAGTACTCAACAGCACGCTGTAGGGTTCACTCCAAACGTATTTCAAAACCCTGTTTATGTTGTTGAGTATTTCATATTTCTGTATTTAGTTGCGTTTCATAGACCCTAATTCCCATTCACAAATGCAGGTTAAACTCCACCGGCTAAACAATAAGAGGGTACTGCAACGCGCATGGGCAGCTGACTGAAACAATGCAAAGACTACTGTGCCAACAGACAGTTAAGCTAGTGTCGTGTTAACGCACCATAGCTGCCATTGAGATGTTATGGCTTAGAAACTGCATAACTCAATTGCCACTTAATTGCAACATTGTGTGTGTGGAGAATTTGCTCGTCCTTTATCCCGCTCTTTCTGGCCCCATCTGCCATTGTGAACTGGGACAAACAATCTCCTCAAATTAGACGGCATTAGTTCCGCACAACACTTATCGCCACAGCAACAGAGCTCCCTGGGAAATCACTGCGGCACCATGAGATTTCTATGTGGTGCATCACAAAAAGATTTGAATCAGTGAAACACAATACAACTCTGTTGACAGCTTGTTGCAGCTGAGGTGAGGTGTAAGAAACAGTGACATGAAGAGGAGGTTCAACCTTTGATAGAGGACTGATAGGTCTCTTGTGGTTTGATAAGTAATGCTGAGTAATCGCTTTGACAGCCCAAATCCACATCACACAACAAGCAGTCAGGACAAGTAACTTATCTACAAAAGTTCTAATGCAAAGAAACAGAAACAAAACCTGAAGCCTTTGTCCAAGAATGGTTTCCAGCAACAATCTCAGCAGACAAGTCTAAATCAGTCAATCTGTGTTCCTACGGTTCGATCGTTTAAAGATCCTAGTTTCTCTTCGATGTGCTGATGTTCCGTAATGGAAGGAAGAATCTAAACTCAAGGTCCACTTCCTCGCTTTTCATTTAATTTCATACACATCTCATGTTTGTCTGCAGTGGATGGAATCCAGAATTAACTTTTCACTTTCATCTTTCTGCTTATACTACTATCGCCACACTATCAGATAAGAGTTTGCTAAATATGAAAAAAGAAATGCATGGAACTCACGACTCACTCCGGTCTATGCATGGGACAACACATAGGCCTACTTGTGCACACAGACTGTTGTGACAGCTGTCGGTTACTAACATTTTCATTCATGATCTTCACGGCCACCCCGTGTTTAGCCAGAGTGATAAAACATGAAGCAGAAGCAGTAGGAAATGTTCCGTTAGCATTGCAGTCACTTAATAGACATTCTGAAACGACATTAGGAGAATGAACAATAAGAAAACAATGAACATGCTGCATTGTTTCCTGTGAGACCTTTGTGCGTAGGTAAGTCATTTGACACCAGCATGGGAAAGGAGGACTCAGCCCCAAACAATGAAAACTAGGCTTCGCTGCAACACAGAGGAACAGGGGTAGTATTCAAAACAGGGTTGGATTTCATGAAAATCTTCCCCTCTAGTCCAAATTGTGTTTTGCTTTCTGTGACTTCAGGTGGATGATTGAGCCTTGCTCTAGGGACCGTAAGGAAATATCGAAAATATCAAGTTCTGCAATGTTATGTTTTATGATACTTTTTTGTGATTCTCAAAAACAGTCAATTTTGAATGAAAGGTTTACATGCAAAAATGAACCCGATAAATACTTGATTTCTTTTGCAGAGATATTTCCCTCTGCGCTCAACTCCAATCACAGCTTAATATGTGGGCGTACCAGGGTCATTCTACAGGTAGCAGAGATCTGCTGGAATGTATTCCTCCTTACATACCAAAAACTTATTGTACAACATTAACTAACTTCTAATGAATCCACAAAACTTTATTTTTATATATTTCATGAAAAAATGAATGTGCAGTTTCTTTGTCATTGGTGTTGCTTATAATGTAAACAACATTAAATGTTTGGAAAAATCGTTTAGCTTAAAAGGCAGAGTAATTGAATGATGACACCAAGAAAAAATATTTGATTATTTTCATTTTTTAATAAAACTGCACACGTTTAAACAACATTGAAAGGATTTATTTGATGTGCAGTATCATTTTTTTCTGCCAAACAAACTAATGAAGAATATTCAAACAAAAATAGTTCGATACTACCTAGAAAATATCAACGCATCATTGCATCACCAATCAACACACAAAAGATTGCTAGAAATTAAAAAAAAAACATCTAATATCACATCACTGAAAAAACATGTAACACCAGTGATGCAATACAACGCAACTTATTTTCTCAGCGACAAGTGGAAAACTTAAAACATGTTTTTTCCTTATCATAACCTCTCTAAGGTCCCAGCTCTTCTTTCACGAATGCCCAAATCCTCTCATCCACCTGGACGGATCTCTTGTTCACAGCAACTGGCTCTGGCATTAAGCACATGATCTGATCATCCGCGTACCAGTTTACATCTTCTATTGGGGGTGGCCAGTAGAACTTGGTCAGGTCATACCCTGCTGGTCCTGTGTGTGGCACTTGATTTAGACATTATGTTCCACCACTTCCAGGATAATGTTAGGGTATCATACCGAACAATACACCACTGCCCACAGTGATGGATCTCGATCACGTGTGGTCGGTGTTACAGGGATTGTGGCTCCGACCAGTCTCCTTCTGTAGGAGGAACAGCTCCAACAACAACATCTTGCGGACCGTAGCATGGGCAATCCCACACATCCTCTGCTGCCTGGCAGAAACAACTGATGTCTCTGTTTTTGAGGATTCCAGGTGTGATGCTCAAACACTTGATCGCCGAAAGAGGGACCTCTTGCATCTTCTTTGCCCTTAACTCCACATCTTCGTTGCTGACATAGAACAGTTTCACGTGTGTGCCTGACTCTGTAAACACCTGATAAAGAGTCTGAGCATCAGGGATGTCCCTTCTGTGGCAGACTAAGGCATCTGCAGACCTCTTCAAAGCCCCTCCTACCCCAACCCTGAGTACCCTTGCCGTGGCTTGCTTCAAAACAGTTTGGCATCACAGGGTGACATGGTGTTGCAAACAGTGTTGTCGGCCATGTTGTCCACATGTTTTGAATCTGAGAGACCATGTTTGTACAGTGTGTCAGCCATGAATTGAAGATTTTTATTGGAGATGACAGACTGACCTTGAAGTATTCTTTCTTGTGGCTTGACTCCCAGGACTCTCAGAATTTTCAGAATTTGCTGATTGCTGTTGTTTTGTGAAACAGAAGTATCTCCTCTTGTATTTGTTACATTGTTTTGTGACCAGTTTTAGTTTCTCCTCCAATTCCTGGATTTTTCTTCTTCGTCTCCTTTGGCCATTGCTTCTACGGACATTTGTTCCTTGTTGTCATTGCCTGTCAACAACATTGAAGAAATACTGTACATCGGAATATAAAAGGAGTCTTATTTTGGAAATCTTTACTTTTTCTTTCTTTTGTTAAGGAGTGAAATGTGTCACCATCGCGAGAGGTCTGAAACCCACTTGTGACCAAACAAAACACGAGAGCCCATATAAGGAAAGTGGGTGATTACATGTTTTCCAATGTTGTATTTTATATGACTTTTTTTGTTACCTTGAGATGCTGGGTGATCTTTCGGGGGATGATTGGGGGGGGTCAAGAAGTCTGTGCTGCTCTCATCAGATGTCTATGTCTTGCTTGGTTAACACACCGCGCCTCTCTCTGAGCTCTCCTTTACCTTTCAGTTAGATCTCTTACTTTGTTCCTCTTTTGGGTCAGGATATCATTGACATAACATTGACGCCGGTTTGTCAAGTACTCTGCTTGACATGTAGGGTCTCCATCTTTCCGCTGCCTGTATAATCTTTGCCTTTCAGCAGCACTTCATTTCGCCATGGCTGACAAAAGGAAAAGTACAAATAGTCAATAATTTAAACTTTTTTCTTCTCCTCATGTCTTTTTGCAGCTTTTATGTGGCTCACTTATACAGGAGTGTCACTGGAGTAACACCAGTGACTGTAGCTCAAATGACAATACGTATATAGAAAATCTACAGTTTTAGCAAAATGGCTGCCATGTGTCAAACCACTTGTTTTCAGGCAAATCAAAATCATTAAACTGTTTAATATATTCAGTTTTAATGTTCAGCTTTTAACCCCTACGGCCAATAAATGAGTAACACGAATGACAGACTTAAAAGCTTCACTCAGAATTCTTACATCATGATATTTTAAACAAGACATCTGACTTACCAAATGTCTTTGGCCACTGCACTTCCTCCAAGGACCTCTTGATCCAAGAAGAACCTCAAATGGTCAGTGTAGGGACATGTAAGGAGGAATAAAAGTCAAAATAAAAGTCTTTTGTGTAGCATGAACACCAATGACATAATTCTGTGTGACTGGTATTTATTTGATATAGTTAATAATAATGAGCTATTTTAACGTTTTCTTTTAACTGTTCTATTTAATATATTTCATGTTCAATGTCAATGTGAACGAGATTAAATTCATGAAAATATAATAAAATTAAATTGTAAATACATTGCCAAGTTGAACATTGAAAATTAGATGAATAAACTTAGTTGTATCATTGCAAGGACAGTCTTTAATTATTGAATATATATAATTCATGATTTTGGTGTCTGCACAAGTAAGTGACAGCACTTCCACCGTTTTTGTAGAATGACCACCAGTTGGATTTTGTGACATCTCAACTAGTTTCCAATGTGCAGAAACTGGAAGCCTCCAGTGCACATATAGCTTTACCTCAGAATATCTGTGGGCATTAATACATCCAAAATGAAAGTGAACAATAACTTCAAGCTCTCTAAAATAGTTTAAATCCTTTACATCTATAAATCCAGGATTATTATGATTGTTCTCTTGGATCTAGCTCCTTTTAAAACGCATGTGACTCAGAGGTGCGCAGTTTGGGAATTCCCTGATAAACGTCCCTGTGATGCAAGTCCCCTCCATCACATGGAGGCCCAGTGAAGCATGCTCAGTCTCTCCGGAGCGCAGGTGTGGGTGTCTGGCCTCAGCGGCGCACAGTCATTACAGGAGACAAAGCGCGCGACGCTTGCGCGCTTCAGAAAAACACGTATAGGATACCACAAATGTCGGTCTGCCTGCGCAGCTCTTTGCACGCGCTTTCAGGAAGCTGATGCAAGACAGATAGACTAGTCTAAGGGCCATTGCCTCCCAACACCCCGAGATATTTCGGCACTGAATGTAACTGTCTACTGACGTTTAGAATGATAACGCATGATGTGATATCGACATGGTGTCCCTTCACGTGGAAACCCAGCAGTGGTCCCACCCTGTGGGAACCCTTTACTGATGCACAGGGAGAACTGCTGTAGCCCTCAGTAGCTCTGTGAGTGATCGATTTGAGCGATCAACAAATCAAAGGCACGTGGCAGGGGCACTGTATAATTAGAAATGATAAATGTGTTTTTCGTCGACTAGACCACGAATATGGGCTGTTCTATTCTACTGTGTATTATAGTAGAAAAGTAGAAGTGCTATGAAAGGAGGAGCCGTTTTCATATCTAACAATCGAGACATATACGCGTTGTTTCAAATGATAGCCTACTGCGTACTGTTGTTGAAGGCTTCCCTATAAATGACAGTATTTGCTTGGGCGCAGTGTCGTATGGCAGAACATGCCCATGGATTACAGAAAGCTCCATGTGAAGGATTAATGCAACCAGATGCTGTTGGTGAACAAGCCTTTTTTTCCATTTGAGCCCATCAAGTGTTATATCTGGACATGGTGAAGAGAATCAGCGTCTCTGGCACCAAATATTCACCGCTAACGATGTTGCAGATCACAGAGTCAATTTCAGTGTTTTGGGCAAACCATGTCAGCATTGGACATGTGAATACATGGATGTCCACGCTGCTGATGCTGAGCAGCAGCCGCACCGCGTATACGGAGCGCAGCCCTCACATCCCCATCAGTGTTACACGTGAAATAAAATCGCTTACCTTAAAATACACGAGCATCATTCCATTCTTCTCACATGTTCTGTCATCCGTGCAGTGTCTTGTAAGGGAAAGGCTACAGCTGGGGTAGGATTAATTGCAACGCGACTGGTAAGCGCCCTTCTTTTATGGAGCGAGCGAGTTGTAACTGCCTGTATGGAAGGTGATCGATGCCGCAAAAAGGGAAAAGCACCTAACATCAGAACAGTTTAAAAAAAAACTGGATTAACAAATAAACACATCATTATTATTTTCCAAAATAAAAAGTTGGAACATTGCAACATTTTAGCACATTTATATTGGCTTTTTGTGTGTTTTAGAATTTATTAAAAAATGGTATTGCTAGTTTATAAGCTAACTATCTCCCTTTATAGACTACTTAGCTGCTGCCTCAGGGTTATCAAACACTGCATCAGTAAATACACCAACAGTTAAAGCAAAGTCATATTGAGGGGCTGCCTTTTCTTTTTACGGACCAAAGATGTGGCCTTCAATGTCTGCCATGTGATTTTTGTAAATTCTGTTCAAGTCCACCTGAAATGAAATTGCATTAACGTAATGTGATGGAATTTTTTGCCTGGTACAGCATTCTTCCGCTGCAAATCCCGTCCTGTTTTCCCCTGTGAGAAAGAAATCTATAACCAAAAGGGGGAATTTTCATTTTATATTTTGGGTTTTCATGAAGGTGTCTCCTACTTTTGCATTAATTCAACAGAAAACTGTCAGACGGTATGGGTCTAAATAGCTGCAGAACATATTTTGATGGATTAACTTAAGTTGTAGATTTGCCTTGGGTTCACAAAGCTCTAAACAGACTTAGAGCTGGTTTAATGCTGAAAACATCAAATGCATCTTGTAAAAGTCATACATTCTCTTTTTTTAAATCAAAGGAGAAGTGATGTTAATAACGTGTTGTCTTCTTACGCAACTTCTTTTCCTGCTTTTTGTTTAGGGCATTAATCACCCTCTATACTTAAGGAATCACTGATTTCAGAGGCCATCCTCTTGTCCAATGACGTTTCACCTCTGTGGTGCTATCAGCTCTGGACCAATAAGCTGAAGAGTCAAGCTGAACCAGCAGTTGAGAGACAAGTTACCACTATGACTGATGAGTATGTTTGTGGCTCGGCCATGGCCTTAATAAAGTTCCAAATACTGGATCAACATATGTGTCACAGACAATGTAGCCTGTAGTATTTACTGTATTTACTTCATAGGGGAAATGAAATAATTCAATATAATCATTTACTGTGGCATATTTGTTTAGAATTTGGAAATTTGTATTGAATGTAGAATTTCACATTTGTCTTCATTCACGTGTCAGAAGTATGTGGAGGTATGCGTGCATAGGTAGGGACTGTATTTACTGTGATTCTCTGAAACCACACTTAACTGCCCATCCAATCACACAATAAAACCTGCCTAACTTTTGCAGAGGCTCAGAACTTATAAATGAATAAGTGACACAGCCACAAGGTGATATTCACATGTGAGAAAGAGCTGCCTAAACTGCAACATGTCAGTCACAAAAAACAATGAATTATTTACATTTTAAAAAAGAAATGGGAGGTATCTGTAAAGTCATAAGTCCACTCGCTGGATGAGTGAACATGTGCTGCATGGATGTTGTGCTGGCTTATATGCAAGGGGCGAGAAGTTTTTTGCAATCCTGCTGACAAACTGACAGACAAACCAAACCGAAAAAATAATCTTCTTGGTGGAGGTAATTATTTCACAGGTTGATTTGCTTCCAAAACTGTGGGGGTACAGTAAGATTAGGAAAGGGGCTTTGGGGAAATCTCTCAAAGTATCTGTGATGGCCCCCTTGTCAGCGGCATGGGACACACCTGGATCTGATGGGTCCATCTACTCCCCACATTACTGACTTTATGGATTCACAATGTGTTTGCATTGGTTTTGGTTATTTTGTGGCATGTCTCCCGTTTTTCGTCCCAGTCCAAGAGCCGGGCTGTGACGCGTCATTGACGAAGATACTAAATATATGTTGAGGTATCCACCAAGAATGTCCGAGACACAACTACACCCAAAACTTATCCCTCTATTTTTCTATAAAATAATTGATACACCAATTGATTAATTGACTTACTGAAATTGTGGATTAAACAAATACTTGCAACAAGGTGAAACTGTGGTTTTGCTGAGTACTGCAGATGAATTTTGATACTATCTAACACCTCTATACATGAGGAGCGAGAAGCGAGCGAGACCCTACAGCAGCATCCTGTGGTTTGAGCAACTGGCTGACATGAAACATGACTCCTGTGACCTATTGCCAAATAGGAAGTCCTATCTTGAGGTGTTACTGACCTTTTAAGATGGTGTTATTCAGTATTATGTGATTTACTAACTTGGTTGGGTCAGATTGTTTTTGATGCTCTGCTTATGTATCATATATGATGTTGAAGTGTGATTATAATGCTTAGACAGTAGCTGTTGTGTTTTTAGTGAAGCAATAGGGGTCAGATTGGCATCTAAATTGAGGGTCAGGGTCCTGAAGCTAACCGAGTGAGGTTCCCAACCACGAGGGGTTCCTCCTCCAGCGGTGGCCCCAGAGGAGGTTCATCCTGGAGTACTTCCAGTCCTCCCACACCATGTGTCCGTCTGACAAAAAACGCTACAGAGGGACAGTACTTATAGAGGAGAAGCTTGCAGACAGACTTTTCACACAAAAAAGGTCACAAATTAACTACAATAAAGACCACAGACTACACATTTCACTCATCAACAAATGTTAGAGCAATATAAAAAAGAAGCAATTTATATATGCCATCAGCAGGCAAGCAACACCCACAATCCTTGGATGTATTATCATGTCTTAATACTTCACTGTATGATTTGCAATAGGGACTGATGTTGATAAGCATTTAAATTTGTATGCATTAGTAGGTAGGGTAAAAAAAGCTGTGGTCAAGCCGCAGTTTCCAGTAGCCTTCAAAGACTAGGACAGGAAGTCACAGAGATCTTTACACCCTGTTAGATCCGATTTGTAGGCCATGCAGTTTGCAGAACACGTTCAGATGTATTTATATTTGTTTGTAAATGCATATATGTGGATGTGTGTGCATCTGGCACTATATCCTATGATGGTCTTTTCATGTCTGCCTTGTAAAACACGTTGCTACTCGTTTTGATGAGTGCTATGTGAATGACCTTTATTATTATCAACCACACAAGATATGTTCGTCAACACATTAAACATTCTACGCACAACATGAGACTACACGCCAACGATCTGGCGTTAAATATTATAATTACAGCAACCAGCTCTCTGATGGGGAGACAGCCAGCTGCTTCCCATCATGCCCGCGGTCTTGCAGCCGGTGGAGAGCAACTGCGGCGCCTGGCTCGCTGCTGCTTGGATCCCTCCGAGGTTATCGTTGCCCACGTGCGCAGGGCGGGATCAAGTGGGACACAAATGTAACCGGCATTGCATTGTGCGGAGATTGCCGGTGATCGATTGTGCGCAGGCGGGGATCATCATCGACCGAGCTCACTGTAAGTTGAAGATGTGCTTAACTTTGTTACACTTGCAACTACAGATGCACTTCCAATCTCTCACCACTAGAGTGTGACATTGTATCTCTGTAATGTGCTTCGATAAACAATCATCCGTCAATTACATCTGTATCTATGCAGGTTTGAGACAGAAGAATGAACTGTATTCTTTTGGCAGCATTGGTTATTGTGAATGAATCAAAATGATTAATAATAATAATAATAATAATACATTTTATTTATATAGCGCTTTTCATAAAACTCAAAGACACTTTACATTAAAATCATCATATATATAAAAGCAATACACTAAAAACATAAAATACACAATAGTGGTCACACATTAAAAGCAGTTTTGAACAGGTGGGTTTTGATTTGAATGTGCAAAGGTCAGTGCAGTCTCGGATGTGTTTGGGGAGAGAGTTCCAGAGGGAGGGGGCAGATATGGAGAAGGCTCTGTCACCCCATGTCCGGTGCTTGGTCCTGAGTGGAAGAGACAGGAGGTTGGCATCAGAGGAGCGGAGCCGACGGGATGGAGTGTGGTGGTGGAGCAGGTCGGTGAGGTAGGAGGGGGCCTGATTGTGGAGGGCTTTATGAGTGAGGAGAAGGATTTTGTATTGGATCCGTTGTGGGACGGGGAGCCAGTGGAGGTTCTGGAGAACAGGGGTGATGTGGTCACGGGAGCGGGTGTGGGTGAGCAGGCGAGCAGCAGAGTTTTGATGTACTGGAGTTTATTTAGGATTTAGGATTTTGGATGATGTGCCGTGGAGAATGCTGTTGCAGTAGTCAATTTTTGAGGTGATGAAGGCGTGGATCAGAGTTTCAGCAGCAGATGAGGAGAGTGATGGGCAGAGACGGGCTATGTTTTTTAAGTGGAGAAAGGCAGTTCTGGTGATTTGTTTGACGTGGTGTTGAAAGGAGAGGTTGCTGTCGAACATGACTCCGAGGTTGCGGATGTGTGGGGAGGGAGACAGAGTGGATTTGTCGATGGTGAGGCAGAAGTTGTGACTGGCTTTGGTGAGGGATGTGGGACCGATGATCATGTCAGATTTATCACAGTTCATGAAGTAGTAATACATACAAGATTACTCTTCTTTTATTATCATCATGATTAGTATTATCATTATTATCATACAAATCTTGCCATTGTTTCTGAAGCCGCAGCACGTTTTCAGGTTTAGACAGTTGCCCATACCACTTTAAAATAGTTGTCCTCGTCAGCCACCGTAGTTTTGCATCACTGAGCTAAAGTTGCCCCAACCCCAAGGATTTTATATTTTTGACTACCGGATTTGAATGTCATCCAGAACGAAATGAAAACACATTATTGGAGAATGAACCAGGTGTGTAATGTAGTCTCTGCCTGCATTCCTCTGATTTCATGTGTTTTTATGTCTTAAATCCTGAATGTTTCTGTGTAAATGTAATATGCCAAGCTGAACACCCATGTGCCATCAACTTTGTTTACATCTCCAACTTCCCCTAGTAAACCCATGTTTACCAACAACACTAGGAATTGTGGGTACTTCCCTTGGGCAAAGTCTGCAGAAATGCAGACTTACAGAAAGTGTTCGTAAAAGACTCAAAATGTCTGCAAAAGAGTCCTCAAACACTTGCTTTATATGCCGAGATGGAAGGACACAAGTACTTCCAATTTGCTAACATTTTTAAATGCCTGGATGAATTTATTTGTTGTTTTTTTTCTAAGTATTTTAATACTTTAACTTTTTTTTGAATGTTAGCAAATTGGGATTTCCCTGAACTGTTCCTCTGAGGAGCACTTCTTCTATGACAAAGATTCGCACCATGACGTCTTATTTTAATATTGATTACGATAATCCAGATTACACCCCTGTGAGAGTGTGCTGGCACTAAAGTGTGAGGTACTGGCACAGACCACGCAGAGAGCGGTGTGCAGCAGCCACCAGCCTGCCCGGCCCGCCAAGCGCTGGTGGCGCCCAAAGATACGACGCCAGCAGCGGTGGGCAATAGTGATGTTCCCCCGGATCGATTTCATCTGTCTGTCAGTGCTTTAAACATCTGGAGGAGAAATCACTGCTCAGCCAACATCTGCCGCTCGCTCACCCTCAGAGGAAAGCTGAGGCAAAGCGTAAGAATGCAAAAGTGAGAAGGACCGAGGCAGCCATGCCCTCGTAAAAAATATGTAACATGTATGAAAAGTTGTTTTGTCCGTCAGAACCCAGTCCTATGCCGACCCTCCCTGGGGTTTATGTCAGAGAGGGGATCGCTCCATGACTGGGTCGCCTCCTCCAGGCACACAGGTAAAACCAGCAGAGGATTCCGTGTAGGTAAGCCTTTTCTCCTCACTACTAATGGTCTCGGTGAGGACTTGAGGCCACGCGATACCCTGCTCTGCAGCCGCTCTCCTACAGGCCTCGTGCAGGGTCATTCTAGGCTTTCGGGTTTGAAGATCCGCTGCACGCACCGTCCCCGGCCACCGGCTTTGAAGCCTGAGGGAGGATAAGGGACTCAACATCTTCCTTGCAGTCTTCAGAACTGAGGCTTTTGGACTCGTCCTCAAGTCCTCCTCAGCAATGTCTCCGTGCTCCGCCATCAGGCGAACTTCATGCTCGTCGGGGGTCTTTTAACGGGGGACTGCATCGAGCAGGCTCCCATGGGGATGCTGTATCCCTGGGTGCTCTCAGGGGGATGGATACGTGTCCATTATCTGGAACCTTTAAACATTCTCTGTTGTCTTTGGACATGCAGTGTGTTTCTGTATTTGTGTTTTAGTTCTTCTAAATGCCCTGCATACGATGTCAAATTGGCGTGTCGTCTATTTGCATTTTCTTAATCTGCAGTTGTTGAGCTCTTGGGGCCACCATTATGTATTGCCTCCTACACAAGTGTTTTCAGAGTGATGCAGGGCTACTGTACTACACAGTTTTCAAAGCATTTCAATTCTAAGAAGCATAGTCAATCATTAACTGCTGTCCTTGGGAAACCATTTATTCCATTCAGGACACATCATGCTTTTATACAAAAATATTCCAAATACTGTACACTGGTTCTCAACATTGTGCAAAATCTAAAAAACATATTTACAACTCCAGTTAAAAAAAAAAGGGAGAAAGTCAATGACGGAAGAACAAAGCTAATTTCTGTGTGTAAATGTTAATACTAATTTTGATTGATGAGATTTAACCTGCACACTTTGAAATGTTCTGATCAGAGTTAACAAACCTACTGGATCTGAAATGCAGACAAATAAAAACATAGCAAATAAAAGGTTTGTGTACAGTTTGTGCTGAAGGGAACGCAACGTAGGTAATGGAATCACATTTAAATGTATAGAAACATGCATCAGGTACAGATTGCTTTCAAGTGTAAAGTACTTACAAGATTGAAATTTAACATTTACGTGTTGCGTTCACTGTAAAATGCACACATTGTGTAGAAGAGCTGAATCTACGTGACAAACGTTTCCAGTCAAAGAAAATAAAATAGTTACCACCCCGCACGTTCAGGCTGATAACTGAGGTTAGGTCGCCGGAATTTTTTTTTTGTAGTTTTCCAAAAGACACAGTGCCTCGTCCTCAAGGTTTCAAAGAACTATTCTCGAAGAGAAATAGTCTTTCCAGTTTCCGTACGATAAAAAGTGCGCTGCTCTCCGACATGCATACGTGGCTATAAGATAAACCTGGTCCTCTCACACCAACACTCTCCACCGTCCCATTCACCTCCAGAGACAAGACTCCCGTCCACATTCAACTCCTCAGCAAGTCCAGCACCAACAAGTGTTCCGTTTGTAATTACATAGTATTTCATTTAAAGGCCACGGTGTTGGTCGGTGTTCATTTCATTTGTAGGAGCTTCATCTTGTTTCCTAAAAGGAAAAAAAGAAAACCAATGAGCTGTTGGAAATTAACCTTTGAGAGGAAACATTTGATGATGGAGCAACGCTTACCCAGTCCTTTAAGAAATTTGTTCACACCTCTTGGCTCCGCCTCAGGGTAAGAATCCAGATACGCGGCCACTCTGGCCTCAAAGAGACCTGGGAGACAGTCAGGACACAGTCGGGAGAGTTGAGCCACCAAGGCAGCGTGTGTACATTGCCATAGCAACTCAAATAGCTTTTGTTTTTGCCATACTAACTAAAAATACCTACGCTAATTCAATCCATGCTCTGCTTTGTAACCACAGTGGTGTCAAAGCAAGTGACTAATAGGCCAACTTGGAAAAGAATACCTCTGCTAAGTGTTACACCATGTTTCTGACCGTGAGTAACCCAGATGTGTATGTGTGTGTGTGTGTCTGTGTGTGTGTATGTGTGAGTGTGTGTGTGTTATTCAGGGCCTCAAGCAAAAGCTGCTTCACTTTTCATTTCTCTAACTGGGAATGTTGGATTTGGCAGTGATAGGAGAAGTACTCAAAAAACATTTCTTAAGTAGAAGTATTAAGTATTAATAGTGACACTATTAATACACTACAGTTAAAGTCCTGCATTCAAACGTTTACTTCAAGTAAAGAGAGAACGAGAGGCAGTATCAGCACATGTGATTCACCTCTCTTCAAGGCGGAGCCTTCAACTCTAATAGCATGCTGGATAGTTTCATTCATAATTGTGCATCATATTTTAATAGTTATATTTTGTGAGTCAAATCTGAATCTGCAACGTAACCAGTGACACTTCTCTGTCAGGTACATGTAGTACTACAATGTTTTCCTCTGAAGTAGAAGTACACAGTAAGTAGTACGCAATACAGTTGGGTTGCATATTTTTTGCTTTGGGGTCCTGTTGCTACTTATTTTCTGGGTGCAATGAGTTGGAATAGTAACATATAAATATTGTTTATATCTAAACACCATAGTAAATCTATAGCTGATTGGGGCCCCAGGCCCAGGTTGCCTAACGGTAGTTTGCTCCTGGTGTGTTTCTCTGAACCAGAGTGTATTTCACCGGCGTTTCTGACCGCGTGCAGCCACGACTTGGTGTGTGACAATACCATTTTTTTCTTCCTATTGATTATATAATTAGGAAAAGTAGTTACTGAGTGAGAAGAAATTTCATCTCCAAGTTTTGTTTTGTCTGTTAAGAACTGGTATCAGTGCACCTTAATGGAAACAGAGAAAATAGTCCCCATTGGACAATATAATGAGCTGTTTCATGAAGTCATGTAAGCAAAAAAAGTTGTCTTAATCCTTTGTTTTGTTTTAAAGAATCAACCCTTATGACTGTTGGCACCGCTGCATCAACACAATTACCTCTCGCTCCTCCCTTGCGCAGCTCTTTGTCCTGAATGAAGCCGGCAAACATCTGAGTATCCATGAAGAGCTGCAGGAACTGGCGGACTCCGCGGGAGGGGTGAGATTTGCGGAAGCTGTCGCGCTGGACCTCCCTCGTTCCGTTGGAGGACTCGACCATGTGGAGGGGATAGTGGCCCACCAACTCCACGAAGAACCGCACAAAACCCTCCGACACCAGAGAGCTCAGGTCAGCCGGCTGATCTGGACGGGCCACATTTTGGAGGAAGACAAAACGGTAAATAACAGACTCCAAAATAGATGAATTGTACCGTAGTTTTACAATCAGATTTAAGATTAAGACTGTGCAGCACATCTGTTTATACCAACCTCCACATCTGTCTCCATCCTCCTGTCTCAGGATATCCTCCCTGTCCTCCAGGATCTGCTGCAGCGCTGCCTGCAGTTTACTAGGCAGGATGCAGTCTTCATCGCCCAGCTGTCACACATCACAGGAAAGGTCAGCAGCAGTCGCATGATGCCAGTTTCAAACATGCATCCCAACTGTCACAACATACGTACAAATAAAAATACCCACTGCTGTGAAGCACTTAAGGCAATCTGTAAGTATTTTGGCATTAACCCATTTCAAATCCAATGTGCTACTGAGCTAAAAGACCAGAACGTGTGTCACCATCTAAATATCCCACCAACAGACATCACTGTGTTTGTCAAGTCATCTTTACGATGACAAAATTCGTGTCACATGCTGAGGAGGGAGGCTACCAGCAATGCTGAAATCACAGTTCTGTATTTGAGATAAATATAAATCCAACTGAACAAAACAAACACATTCATCATTAATTGAAGAGACGATTACTGTTGTATCAGCTGTAAAACAGCCTTCCTGTTTGGTTTGAGCTTACGTACCACATAGCTTCATCTCTGCAGAGCTTGTGGGCATAACATAACTTTCTCTCTGTCACCCTCAAAACATTCTGCATACAAACAAGGGACAAGTGTAGGCAAAGCCATCTTTCCCCAACTGGCACCACACCTATCATTCCTATTATACACCGCTGTGTGTACACACCTGAATGACAAACTTGTCTGCACACAGATCCACTATGAGCACCTGGGAAGACAACGAGAGGAAAGAATGACAGTTACTGGCTGCAAGAGTTTTCACTATTTCGCAACATGAGTTACAAAGAAGGAGGGGTGAGAGCCTGAGCAGCGGTCTCTTGAGGGCGTTTCTCAGCCACTACTCACGCACAGTGGAAGCTACTTACTGGTTCTGTTTGGGATTCATTCACAATATGCAGGGAAGGTACGGCCAACAGATGGCAATAAAACCTCTATATACACAGACCTGTCTTGATAATCAGCAATTTTACAACGCAGGCGGTGATTTTAAGACATTTCAACAGAATTGTAACCGGACCGACCTCCTCGATGGGCAGCTCCAGCAGCTGTGGCAGGCAAGGGGCCAGCACCCCAATGAGGAAGGGGGTGGGGGAGCAGCTGATGTCCAGCATGCTGGCCGGTAGCACAGGCACGAAGGTGTGCTGCCAGGTGAAGGGGTACAGCAGCGCCAGCACTGCATGGCTGCACCGAGACAACACACTGCGGTGAACGGGGGAGGAGAGAAGAGATTAAAACAACTACTCGGTTCTCACACGGATCGCGTGACACAAAGATATTAATCAAAGCACACGGTTGTAAATCTTTTCCAGCACGTTTTCAAAGTGACTGGAAGAGCTTTTAGCAAACAATTCTGGTGTGTCAAAGAGTTCTCCCAAAATCCAACTGATCTATGCTCATACTCTCAGTGACACTATCTTCTACTGGTGACACTCCTTGTCCCTTTACAAACTGATGTTATTATACTCCTCTGGAAAAACCCTGCCAGCTTTTTTAGTAACTTTAAACCAGGTTATCAATCAACATTTCCTCTCCAAAAATCTGTTATGTTATATCTGATAATCCGTTTTAGACTGCGTTAACATGCCACTGACTCCATCACAACCATCTCATTCTCAATCTAAGCACAGCGTTGAACATGGCTGATAGCGGCAGGTTGATATTGGCTTGTTATCAGTATCAGCGTGTGTATGCGAAAAAAGGAATTGCAGTACATATTGTAGTTCTTGTAGCCTTCACTTTGAATGTATATACGGCAGTTTACTTAATCAAATAAAGACAGAATTTGAAGTATCCTATTCAACTGGGAAATGTCCTGCTGAATAATAAGCAGCTCGGGATGGGTCAGGACCTGTTGTTGTTGGCCCTGTGGAGCCCTCTGAGACACTGTAAGTGATATTGGGCTGTACAAATAAAACCTGACTCGACTTGTCGTTGGGAAGCTGAGCATTGAGGCCGAGGTACACGCATATAAATAACACTGGCACTGGGCCTGTGTGACGTAATCAAGCATTAATGGGTGTTTTATTAATTGCAGATCACATTCTTATATATATATATATATATATATATATATATATATATATATATATA